GAGACAGCGAGAGAGGGAACACAAGCAGGGGGAGTGGGAGAGGGAGAAGCAGGCTTCCCGCGGAGCAGGGAGCCCGATGTGGGGCTCGATCCCAGGACCCCGGGATCATGACCTGAGCCGAAGGCAGACGCTTAAGAACTGAGCCACCCAGGCGCCCCTAAAAATGGATGTATATTTTAAAAACAGATCAAAGCCTTCACGGTCAAATACAAAATTCATTATTTTTAAAGACTTTATTTATTTGAGAGAGAGAGAACAAGCTGGGGGGAGGCGCAGAGGGAGAAGCAGGCTCCCCACTGAGCAGGGAGCCCAATGTGGGGCTCGATCACAGGACCCTGGGATCACGGCACTTAACCAACTGAGCCACCCAGGCACCCCAGAATTCATTTTTTAATGTCAGTGGGCGTGTGGAAGAAACCTGTGTTCTCTGTTGAGGGATGGAACATTCGGACCTGGCCGTGTCCAGTGTATTGATCCGTTGCTTTACATCCTTACTTGTTGGTCCCATTTGGTCTGTTTGGTTCTGTGTTTGCATTGTTATCAAATTTTTCTTGCTTCTCTTGTGATTTCTCCTTTACATGCTTTTAAAATTTCTCTTCTATCTCAAGACACTTTACTTAGTGGTAATACACACACCCCCAGCCTGCACTTTGCCATCAAGAATTACATCACAGATACGCAGATGCACATGCAGTGTGACCCATCTTTCAGTCTTTGCCCCCAAAACAGCCCACCCTCCCACGCGGCTGGAGAGCCAGCTCTCTGTGGTTACAGGTGCCCCCCCATTTCGGAGCTGGGCATTTTGCTCATGAGATGGAAATTGTACCCCAATCACCCGGCCACCAGCTGAGGCCTAGGCCTCGCCTCACCTTCCATCTGGAGCCTGTTTCCTGTCTGTAACTCAGGACAGCAGCAGCCCCCGCCCCAGGGGAGAGTTGCTGGGTGAATTCATGCCAGGCTCTTGAAAGGGCCTGGCACATAGTAAGTACTCAGTGAAGATTACAGAGGTTCTGACCCCAACATGGGGGTGGGTGCCAGGTGTCCCTACTTTACAGATGAGGATACTGAGGCTTAACGATGGGAAAGGACCTTCAGGGTCACCCAGGGGGTGAGTGGTGAGGCGCACCTGCCCACCCGTGTGTGCGCTTGAGCCGGGGTGGGTAAGGGCTCTCCTGTTAGTGGGTGGGCAAATCCTCCCCACCCTTGCCTCAGAGGTATTTGGGGGTGGGGGTTTGTTTTATTCGGCTTCCTGAGTCTTTTGTCCTGTGATGACCTCCTGATGAGAGGACGGGAGGTGAGCTGGGGCTGGGGCCACGGGTGCTGTCCAGAGCCCCACCTGAGGACTCCTGTGTCGGCGTGTCCCCAGGGTGGAGGCTTCCCCAGCCGCTGCCGCTGCCGAAGCAGAAACCACCAGCCAGGCCTCGGAGCCCGCCAGCCAGGCCTCGGATGAGGAGGACGCACCTGCCACGGACATCTACTTTGTAAGTCCCCTGCAGCTCCTTCTGTTGCCTGGTCCTCGACCAGACACACACACTCGTGCACCACACACCCATGCACACTCACAAGGACACTCATGTGGACACAGTGCTCTCACTGGTCAACACTCACATCCATATACTCTTGCACGACCAGTGTGCTCTCACACGCATTCACACTCACATGCTCCCATGGCGTGGGAGCACCTTGCCCCTCGGCATCCAGGCCAGGCCACTCTAAGGGTAGGGAACCGCCCCGTCCCTCCTCCCCAGGCCTCGTGACCACCACCAGGCCACCGGGCAAGGCCCAGGCCCTAGCCATGCCACCGCGTCTCCCTAGGAAACATCTGGAGTCCTTAAGCTCTGAGCCCCCTTGGGCCCCCCTTGGTCCTGGGCAGATCCGGGGCCAGCCACCGAGGGCTGCAAACTGTGTGGATCTTCTCCCGCTGGATGGCGGGCACAGCTAGGTGGGTTCTGTTCTTGAGGAGGCCAGGGGATTGTGTGCTTCCCACTGCCATCCTCACTGGCCGAGGACTCATGGCTGCTCCCTAATGGGGCAGGGTCTGTCGGAGCAGGAAGGGGCCCTGCCGCAGGGACCCGGGACCTGTCTTCCAGAGCAGGGGGTCACCTCCCCCCTTGCATCTCCCACAGGCACAGGTTAGCTGGGCTGGGAGCCTGGGTGAGGTGGGTGCGGGGTGGCCAGGGAGCCTTCAGAGTCCTGTCCAGTGACCACCCCCCACCCCCCACCCCCAGACAGTGGGTCTTGAGGCTGCCTTCCTCGGGCAGCCGTATTCAGTGGTCAAATGGCCTTATGCAATGAAGGGGACTGCCTGTCCTCCTCCCAGGCCTCAGTCTTGTCTCTGCTCCCACGGCCAGTGAGCTGGGGGCCCGCAGCCATGGTTGCCTTATATACCACCACCCTGCTGTCTGTCTTGGGGCCTCTGTCTGGCCTGGAGAAGTAACAGGCGCATGCACTGTGTGTGTGTCCCCACACCCGCCGTCAGCTCCCCGTCCCTGGGCGCTTGGTTTGTGTCCCATCCTGTGGATCAGTGTGTGAGGCGGCCCCAGGGGGCCATGTCCTATGTGTGCGTCTGGGTCTTGACACCTGAGTGGGCGGCCAGGCCCTGCGGGCAGCAGAGAACGTAGGCAGACCGCAGTGGGATCCCACCACCCCGAAACTCACCTCCCGCTTGGCCATCGGCTTTCCTGCCCCTGCCCAGCGCCCTCCCCACCTAACCACCCGCCAGATTCCTGTTGCCTCATCCTGTCCTCTGTTTGCTTCCTCCCCCGCCCGCCCGGCCCGCCCAGTTCACCGATGGGAGGTACTGGATTTACTCTCCCCGGCATCGCCGACTGCGGGCCGTGACGCTGAGCTCCTCAGGGACTGTAAGTGACCACAGCAGGTGTCCAGGGAGCCCAGCCCCCGGTCCACCACCCTGGGCAGCAGGGAGCCACAGGTCCTGGCTGTCCCTCGTCCTCTGAGAAGGGACTTGGGGAAAGAATCACTATGACTGAGGCCGGTCATGTGTCCCCCAGTGATGTCACTTAGGTCCCTCTGAGGTGGGCATTGCTAGGCCTGCAGGCTCACAGCCAGGGCTAAGGGCACTTGGCTGCAGTGGTGGGGTCGGCATCTGACCCCAGCCCCTGGCTGCCTCTGCCCCTCTCCCCAGCCTGCCTGAGTCAGGGACAAGTCGGTGGACACTTGTCCTGTATTCAGACCTGGCTGCTGATGGCTCCCCCAGGGGCGTCTGCCCTGCAGAAGTAGGCAGTCATGTGGGTCAGCAAAGGCAGGCTCTTAACTGCAAGAGAGAGGAGATGTATTTCCATACCCACTTCACAGTGGAGAAACCAAGGTCTCAGCTCCCCAGAAAGCCCACAAGAGGGCATGGTTTAGATAAAATCTGGGTGCAAATTCCCAAGCAGCCCCTGTGTCTAGTAGATGCTCATCTATCTATTGTGTTTGGGATGCTGTGTGGATATCATGTAACAGTGGTATTCTCAGGACCTATTATTGTCCTCATGAGCAATAAGTGAGGGGCCCAGAGAGGCCAAGTAACCTGCCCAGAGCCACACAGCACTCAAGCAGGCGGAACAGGTTGAAATCCTGAAGCAGGAGTTTCTGTTCTCAGGATGAGGCCCCTCGGAGGCTCACACCCCCAGCCCCAGATGCCTCTGAGCGTCACTGGGTGTCCAGCTCTGCCGAGCAAACCCAAGAAGTGGAAACCACTTCCCCAGACATTCCCACCGTGCTGTGTCCTGCTGAGACAGGGATGCCACACCCTTAAAATGATCCAAGAGCTGAGGACACACAGCAGGCCCTGAGGGCCCCCCACCGGGGGAACAATTTGTAAAGGCTGCCTGCAGAGGGGTTGACCCCAGGGTGTGGGGAGGTGGGAGAAGGAAGGGTGGGCTCCGTAGAGGGCACAGCGGAAGCTGGTGGGGGGCACATAGGAGCAGAGGGAGCAGCAAGTATGAAGGCTAGGTGAATGGGAGCAGACCCTAGGGCCTGCAGTACTGGGGAGGATGTGTCCTTGGCCCCACTTTAGTGGGGTCATCGCCGGGTTCTGGGTCCTGCTGCCCGTGATCCCTCCCTCCGCCGGGACCAGCTCCTTGCAGAGTTCAGGTGGAGACCCTCTTGTCCCACGTTCTTGTCCCCTGGCTCTGAACATGGGATGTAGCTGCCCCGTGTTGGACACTGGGCACGAGCAGCCCCAGACAGACCCTGCCCCCGGACTTCTGGGCAGGCTGGGGTTTTTGTGCGCTGTGACCACTAAGCAGTGAGCAGGGCCTGTGCGCCATTATACCAGTCCGTCTGCTGAGGATGACCTTCAAGGGGTGTGTGGCCCTGGGCCAGGTGCTCAGACCAGAATGAGTGGCCCGTGGTGCCCAGTGGGCCAAGTGCCTCCTGCGGGTGCCACGGTCTGGCCGGTGAGGGCAGGTTCTGCAGCGAGAGCTGTAGGAGGGGCAGGGAGGAGTGGGCACAGAGGTGGGGAGAGGCAGTGGGGGCCCCAAGGGGCAGCGAGGGCAGAGGGGCCTGCATTCACCTGGAGAGCACAGAGGCCGCATGCTGGTGCTTGTTCTTCACCAGGCTCTGAAGAAGCCAGCCCTGCAGAGGCGAGGCTGGTTGTAGAGAAGGGGCAGCCCGACCGAAGAGGGGCAGGTCTGGGGGCTCGTTGGGTTGTGGCCTCCGTAGGTTTAGCCAGGGCAGGTGCCTGCTGAGGCCCCGTGCTCCGAGCAGAGGCCAGGCCACGGGCTAGGTCCACAAGCGCTGAAGACTGGGAGGTGGGGGTCTGCGGGAAAGAGGAGGAAGAAAGAGAAGAAGGGGGCTGCGGGGGTTCTTGTGGCCCCCCGAGTCTGACCCAGAATGGGGACCCCTTCCCTGACACCCCTGGAGGAAAAGCAGCCCACCTTCTGGCTGGGCCTCTGTTGTTTGCTCTCTGGGTGCCCCGGGCCTCGGTCTCACCTGGCCGATCTGTGCGTTTGGGCACGAGGAAATGGGCTCCACCCTGCGCCCCCCAGGGCACTCATCACCCAGGACCCCCAGTGGAGGGTCCTCAGGGCCCCACTCCGGCTGGCGGCCCCGGTGGCCACACAGCAGGCTGGACCTGAGACTGGGGTGCTGCCGGGCGCCCCGGGAGGCCCGAGCAGGAGGCCCGGACGAACAAGGGGGCGGGGCAGGGGAGGGGACAGCAAGCAAACCACGCCCCCGCCCCGCCCCCTCCCGCTCCGCTGTACCGGGCCCCGCCTGCACTCCGCGCCCCGCTTCCTGCCGCCTACCCCGCGCGCTGCCGCCGCTCAGCCCCGTCGGCCCCACAGCCGTCCAGGTTGGGGGAGGGCCCGTCAGGGGGAGGGCCGCGGGGGCTGAGCCGCCTACTCGTCGTCCGCGTTGGGGTCCGCCTCCTTTATTTCTGTTTCTTCCTTCCTTCTCTCGCCTCTCTCGCGCCTCCTCGCACCCCTGCTCTTCTGCGCCCTTCCTGCACGTGCGCCCGCCCAGCCCACCGATGAGAGGAGCTGGGTGTACTCCCCGCTTCACTATAGCGCGCACGCCCACCCAGCCTCCGACGGCGAGAGCGACACAGTAAGTGCGCCCGCGGCTCGCCACGCCCTGGGCCGGGGCCTCGGGCCGCGCGCACCGCCCCACCTGCCCAGGGACCGGCCGGGGACACGGAGG